CGGGGTCTTTTATTGACTATAAGCGTCAATAAACAGAGAGGTGTAGATTTTAGAGAATACTGGTACCCTATCTTTGGCAATCCAATATATCAAGCTATAATGGAAAAAGATAGAAGTTTTGTTATATTTTCCCTTCAAAATTATCAAGGGCTTCTAAAAAGTGTTGTGCTGAATACAAACGCAATACATGCACTGAATATTCTGAAAAAAAATTGTAATATAAGTATAAGTAAATAAGTGTAAATACACATTACTGAAATACATTATACTGTCTTTTTCATTCAAAATATCTTTTTTTTCTTTCATTATACCTTACATTTATAAAATGAGTCTGTTGGACACTACTGGTCAGTTACGTCACAAAAGCATTCTGGATAGTTAAGGGTTAATCGGTGAGAATGAAAAACAAAATATAAAGTAATTTCGTAGTCATTGATCATTGTGACATTAAAATCATAAGGCTACTTACGTATAATTGAAACACTTCCACATCCACAGTCGGTCATGTGACGCCGGAGGTACCAGGTGTGCAGGCGCGTGAGGAGCTGGCGCGGTTCGTTGGCGATACAACACCCCACCACCGCAAGCACCGCCGCCGACAAACAGTGAAACGCCCGCGGATACAAACTCGGGGCCCGGTGCTTCTTCGTGTTCTGGTGTCCTGGTAGACACAAGACAAGAATAATGAATAATTATTATCGGAGGTCGTTGATAACGCCTTCTTTAATGATCGATGATGATATTATTTATTATAGTGTTATTAGTAGAAGCCTAGAGTGACTAGTACTATAACTACAATTAACAAACACAATCTATTACAATTATGAACCTACGTAAAACCGGGATGAATCATAACAGATTAGTGACACAAACGTAAATAAGTTGTCTCCAAAACGCGGAAGAAAAACAAAATGAACCTGACAAAGCGAAAAAACACGTAACACGAGGAAATGGAAGCGAATGTCTATCGCGCGATCTCAATAACAACGGAAACTCATCCGTGTATATTATACCAAATGAAAAGGCAGCAGATATTTCCTTAGACAAACCAGAAGGCCTATTGCGAGTCTTTTTTATCGTTAACGCGATCGTTTAACCCTCTGATTGGTTGGTTAACTTGAAGCAAGCCAATCAGAGCGCTAAACGTCATAAACGTGTCGAACACGTTAATGTAAAACACATTCGCACTAGGCCCTCAGTTTAGTAGATATAGATGAATCGTGTGACATAATCCTTGGCACAGCTGCAGGAAGCGAGAACTTGAAAATACGAAGAAAAGTTTGACACGCACTCGCTGGGGATTCGAGACCGAAATCGAACAATTGTAACCGAAAACTGAGGTAAATATTTTGAAAAAGATGTAAAATATTTTAAAATTTATATTTGTGTATAAAAATTGTAGTTGGATTTGTAGTATAAAAATGATATACATATTAGTACTATCTCAAACACTTTCAACTTAACATACAATGCTAAAGCATTTTTTTTAAGGGGGGAAAATCATCGAATGACTGCTCCCGCCTGGGTGAGGCGGGAGGGAGTGTCAGACTCTGAGTGTCTGACTAAAAACCACCCCGTTACTTCTCCTGCACGTCGAGCCGGAGCCCCGGTAACCCGTTAGGTTTTTCGCGACGAATGCTAAAGCATAGGAGATTTTTCTGCGTCATGTTTATTCGTTGATAGCGTAAAAAGCCCCTTAGATAGAAAGACAACCATTGCCTCCCAAAGTTGCTTACACCAGAAGTAATCTTTTAGTCAGTCCTTTATTTTTGTTAAGCTCGACGTGGTACGACGCCAGTGTAATATTTAATTAAGCGCAGATATTGCAAAAGAAAATAAACGTTAGTTTAACATTTCTGGATCTTTATAAAACTGAGCAATATATATGGACTTTGGAATGACTATGGAAGTTTTGACTTTATAAATAATCGCACTACTGATTTCTATTTTAATGAATTTTAAAATGCAATTATCTACCACCAAATATTATTGTGAGGAGTTCGGCAGTTAGAAGAACAACCCGCGTTTGAGTCGCAAGAATTTATTTTTATATGAAGTTATAGTTATACACACTTTAACGTCCTAGACTACACTCACAGTCGCGCGGTTGCCCTAGCGAAAGGCTATGTCGACCCGGATTTAAGCTAAAAACTAACACGTTGGGCTAGATTCGAAGATCACGATTATATCCGACTAAATCTGCTTTGAATTTGGTAAATAATGATTTTATAGCCTATAATTAAAACAATAATATAACTAAATAGGAAACAAATAAAGATAATTTTCATACATAGTAGGATGGCATTGTATGTATTTTACATACATATTTTCATACATTTGTAAAATACATAGGTACAATGCCATCCTACGCTATGTTTTCACAAACGAAGATGAATTGTCTGACGATAAATGATGTATTTCGCTTTGAGCGCTTTTGGTATTGTCACGATATTTGATTGACATCCTTGTACAAGCACCGCGAATTGTTTGAACGTTAGCAGCATATTTTGGCGAATTCCCGCCTCATACATCCATGTAAGGTAATGACAAGGGTAATTTATTTCCATGATGTATGCACGCGAATTTGGTTTAGAATCTCCCCAATGGCAGTGTGCAGTTGTAGTTATGTCGGTATCTATCAGTGTGGAACGGCTGGTAATTAATGGGATACAAGTAATATTATGTTATTCTCTATTACAATATGGAGTGTGTATATTGTACGGTATGTAGGTACCCGATAGAGAGAAAACATAGTAACAAAAACAGCTATAACTGATAGGTCTCTGGGTTTTGGAATGAAAAGTGGTTCTATAAAAAAATATGGGCACCAGATGAATCGGTTGATGAATTTTAGCACATAATGAGGAATATAAAAATCCTGTTGAAACGGCTCAAAAACCACAGGAAGTTGGCGGAGATACTCTTATTAAACGTGAATCACAGTAAGAAATATAACACGGAATTGAAGAAATGACAGACGAGAAAACAAAACGAAAATGGGTGAACAGTAACATCATGGCCTTCTAAAACATCATGACATAGGAAGTCATTGACCCTTTCATATACATGGTGATAATAAAGGGATCGATAATCAAAATGGTTACAGCAACTATACAAAAGGTACATAATAGACTTGTTGCTGAAACTAATAATAATATCCATCCTGTTTACTAACAATATTATGCTAGAACTTTGTTCTGAATTGAAGGCCCAAGTTTATACAATAACAACGTTGTTTTAATTGTTTAACAATAAACTCTTGTTGAGTTCCCTATCAAAGTACGGGTTCTTTGTTCGTTGTTGAAGGGTAAGTGTAAGGAAACTGTTTGAGGGAGAATGTTAATAATACCTATAATTATTTTGATGGTTTGTTTTTATAATAAGGTGTCCGGCAGAGGGCATGGTGGGCTCGCAACGTAAGTAACAACAGCGACGCAAGCTTGCGAATACGCTAGCTAGTAGGCCGCGACCGCGCAAGCTGCTGTTCATGAAGAAAAAACCCTCTGTGGTTCGAAACTAGTAGAGCTTATCTCAGTATTTTCACGTGAGTAACCCATGATTTTTAGTTTATTTTAATGGTTGTTATTTAGCCTTCATAACTGTTGGTTTTAGAAAATATTAAGTATCTTTTGACGGAATGTGTCATATTTCAATCAGCAATGGGAAGTCTTGTTTAAAGAACTCGCGACAGATAAATACAATGTTGGAATGTTCCACCATATATGGTCAATGCCTAACTTCAAGGCTGCGTATAACGTTTAGTTTGTGTCATTATGTTTTAGTGTAGTTTATTAAATGTAGGTATAATATTATTTATTTATAAGATTTATAAGTTTATAAATAGTGAAAAGTGGGTGTTACTTCTGTGTGCACCTCTGCCTACCCCTTTGGGGATAAAAGGCGTGATGTTATGTTATGTTATGAGTTTATAAAGTCTCACGAAACTGACATGTACACATGTAAAAAAGTCCTTAAATAAAATAAAGAGAGAAAAAAGGATTGGTTTATAAGTAGATAATGCGACACTTTTCGTTAGGTTTATTGCTAGTCGTAATAGGATAGGATGATTTTTATAAGTAAATTATAAGAATCAAACAATCCATATACGTATATAAAAATGAAACCAGTTTCCCCATGTCACGCCATAACTCGAGAACGGCTGGACCGATTTGGCTGATTTCTTAGTTGTGTTTGTTATTGTCAGGAGAAGGATTTTATGATGGAAAAAAACCTGAAAATCATATGGGAACGGGAGAAAACAGGATTGCGCGTACGAAGTCGCGGGCAGAAGCTAGTTTAGCTCGTCGAGTACCGTCATTATAGACACAATTATAGAACAATAGGTTGCGGTCACCGGTGACCGCTTGGTGTATGACAGTTTTAACTCTTTGAGTACCGTCATTATAGACACAATTAAAAAACAATAGGTTCCTCGTGGTGTTTGACAGTTGTTGTTTAATTGTGTCTATAATAACACTACTCAAAAGGTTAATAAAAATAAATGCTTTGACTTTGACTTTATAATCGGTGAAATATGAATTGACCCTTTAGAAAATTGTAGGTCAAAATCAACATCAAGGTTTCCGTGCACTTTTGCCAAAAATATTTTATTGTCCATTAACAATCGACATTGTTAAGCATTTTTTGGAAAACCCTTAACAATTTCAATACTCCTTCAATTTTATTTACACCGTGAGGATTCAACAAAATGAAATTGCCAGACAAATTCACTCCATTCAATTTATGAAATTAAATTGCGAGATTATTTCATTTCAGATATTCGACTGGCGGGGTTGCGTCTACGTCGCGACTGATGTGACATGCAATAATGAACTTAGAAGACGGTGTTGCAATAGAAATTCGATTTAATTTTCCTTGAAGCTCTTATTTTGGTGTTCTTGTAATATGAATAAATCTTCTTTATTTCATATGGGACTGGTTATTTGCACCGATTCTATTAAGTACATACTGTTTTGTGTCAATTTTTTTTATAATGGTCATACATTTTGTAAATGTCTAAAAAACGTTACATTAAAACTCTTTTGATAAACAATAGGTTGTTTACTCAAAGTCAAAATTATTATATTAATTACCATCAGTGTTTTTTTTTATCCTTTGAACCACCGTAAAAAAAAGAAAAGACAAGCTGCCGTTGACGTAGCCCTTTTTCATTTATATTTTGTATTATTATTGTACCAAACAAAAGTTTTATAATAATACCAAATAATTACATTTGCCCTTCTAAGTGTTACTCAACAACAAATTAATTTAAAACTGTTACAAATACCTTTCAACTAAGGCTATAGAGAGTGACACTCCGGGAAGAAAATACGGTAACTATTTCACAGTTCGAATCCAATTTCAAATACCGTCTCGTTGTGACGTCATCCCCTAGTTCAGTATACAACCCGCTGCATCGCTTAACTTGCTTTTCCCAGAACGCAGTTATTATACCGTTGTGGTTGTGTTATTCGATATCTCGACCAATAACGAGTTCTTATTCGCATCACTACAAGCTGTCGAGACCATGGACGGGGAAATTATAAGTTTTTCCGCTCAACTTTATGAGACTATCAGGGGATTGCGGAAATTATAATTTTCTTCGTGTTCTTATTTCGTGTTGTGTTAACGATGTTCGTGACAGATGGAGTGAAAGTGGTTTTTGTTGTACTGCGTTTTATGGTGTAGGTATTGAAATCGAAAATAGGTTTACTTTTGTAAAGTTTTGTATGAGGAAAACGATTTGGAAAGGTTTGTTGATTTAGAAAAAAAGTATTAAAAAAAAGTTCTGTTATTACGTGTATCTCATCGAATGCTTAATTGGAGGGGCTTACATAAACAGTAGAGGTATTTAGAGCCCAACTAGTTACCTAGACAAACGGGCACTCTCCAAAATTAGGCCAAATACCTATTAAATTATTATTTAATCTAGAAACTCAAATGAAGTACCAAATATATTATTCGTTGCTATTTAAAAGCTATACAAAAAAAAGTCCACTTACGCCTGATGAGGATCAAATCTTGCGTCTGGCGGTGCTCGTGCTCCAATTAGACACATAGTCGAGTCTGGTGGAGCAAGGACTCGAAGCTGCAATGCTGCTCTGGGATACCACCAACGTCGTTCTTCTATTGCTACTGCCACCTGGTGAGAAAACAAGTAAGTTTTTTTGAGAAAATTATAGAGAATTATAGATTTATAAGTCTCCCTCCATTCAATTTAATCAAGTTGTAGAATGAAATTCTATATTATTAATGATGAAATGTTAAAATAAGTAATTGAGAGAGAAGCCATACATTGATTTTTGTGCATCTATAACCACTGACATTCATCTAGAACAAATGAGATATTGATAAACCATTATAATGTTGCAGCCGCTAGGCTTCCTTTTTTTTTGTAAAAACTAAAACACAGTAGATCTTATTAACCATTATTATGCTACATTAGCAAGTCTTACTTTTTTTTCTTTTAAAAACAAACTTTACAACAATGACAATATATACAATCCTCTTTTAGTTGGATTTTAATCCGATATTATGACGTAATCCTTAGATTTTATTCGTTTCACAAAAGAATAACATGCTAGCATTCTTCTTCATTAGTTCACATAGTAATCTGAATGCCAATCAACATTAATAATAGCTTGTAACCACTATCGAAACAAAATTAAACCACACACATCAACACTTCAGCAATAAGATCACACGCACAAATACATATATCCCAGAAACTAACTATACCAATAAATTGAATGTCCAAGATCGGTTAACACTACCCAATACGTTGTACGCATTGAAGCGATATCGGGAACAGTGGAAATTACAACGTTCTTAATTGCGTCCTTTACAGGCAACGAATTGCCTTTCATTTGGGACCGTTGATTAAGCGCCGTGTAATAACACTGGACGTCATTGTCATTAGTTTGATACAATTGAGATGGGAGATGTAAAACCCTGTTGGTAGGTACATGTGTATAATGGGGATGATGACAGGGTATGAAAATTAAAAATATAATTAGTCCGTAAGTTAGGTAATGAAAAAATATTAGACACGTATTTTTTTATTTTGACGTATAATAAAACAATACTTAGATCGAATCACAGTTTAGGAGTGGGGGCTAAAACGTCATTTCTTTGTATAAAATGTACATAGAAGTGACGTCACACGACATTTTAAATCAATATATCGTCGAAAGTATAGATACGTTTCCGTAAAAAAATTAAAAATACGTGTCTAACTAATGTTTATAAAATCTACGAGACGGATATTAAAATAAAAATTAGTCATTTACACTATTATCTAGTGTTCTTTGTAGAGAAAACAGATGTTTGTTAATAGTAAGGAAACTTTTGGTTTATTGTTTTATTGGTCTCATTGTAAATATTTATAGGCATTTCTTATACTAATACTTATATTATAAAACTGAAGAGTTCGTTTGTTTGAACCGAACCGGTTTGAATAATTCTTTTTGTGCTGGACAGTACATTTATTGAAAAAGACTATAGGTTATAACGCATCTCGCTATGACTAATAGGAGTCAAACAGCCGTTGGCGGCGGCGGTTGCTAGTCGAAAAATAAAATCCTTCTAACTCCTGATAAAAGTAGTAGACAACCTAGTTATTTGTTTCCGATTCCTTGAATTACTTTTACTGATTAATTAAAGAATTCGCGGCTTCTCATTATTTCCAAACTGTTTTCATTGATGATTCCTAAAACATAATAGGATTTACAATAACTAGAAATATAATTCTGTGTTCTCTACAAATATCCTCTCGCGCGTTTCTTGTACACACACGGGTAAATATTTTAATAGAAAGCAAATGAACTATTCTGTTCAATCAAATTAAGAACGGGTTGCTAACTTGAAAATATACGTCACAGAAAAAATATCCAATCGGTGCGCGTTTCTCGTACACCCGTGTGTACAATAGGGTACACGACTAATTTTTATGTTAATGTCCGTCTGGTAGATTATTTAAAAACATTAGACACGTATTTTTTATTTTCTTACGGAGACAAATAGTTTCGAAAATATATTTATTTGAAATGTCGCGTGACGTCACTTCTCAGTTCATTTTATACTAAGAAATGACGTTTTAGCCCCCACTCCTAAGCTTTGATACGTTTTATCTAAGTATTGTTTTATTATACGACAAAATAAAAAAATATGTGTCTAATATTTTTTAATTACCTAACTTACGGACTAATTATATTATTAATTTTCATACCCTGTCATCATCCCCATTGCGCGATGGGCACTCTCGCGCGTATCTCTTACACCCGTGTGTACGAGATACGCGCGAGAGGATATTGAGAATGTAAGAACTAAGTTATTAAGTATTTACCTAAACCCAAGTTGAATCTAAGGATCACTAATCACTTCAGACGTTTAGCTAATAAAACGACTATCTTAAGAAATTACATCTGTGACACCTTTGTTGTTGCGGGTGTCCATGGGCGGCGCCGATCGCTTACCATCACGTGATCCGTCTGCTCGTTTGCCTCCTATTCCATAAAAAAGAAATATAGCACTACGATTGATCGCCCATTTACAAATCAACCGAGTCAAGCCATGGCCTACTTGAAAGCCATTTATTTAACTTAGTAACAAGCCCCGCCTCTTTCTAATAAGTTTAGGTATCTGAATTATTTATGACTACCGGTTGATATTTGCCGTTCCGTTAAAATGTCCTATAAAAATAATTGGAGGGGGATCCATTAAAGAATTTGTTAGGAGAAAATGTTGAATAAGTGGACCGAGGGACTATTTACGTTAATTAAAGTTAAGATGGCTACTTGTACCGGAGTTTTCATATTGTTTGTTTTTTTTTTTAATGTACGTAAATTTCATTTTAAAGTTTTATTAAGATTTTTTGTTTATATAAATTTTAACTTATTAAATTGTTGACTGATTGTATTGATTTATGTTATTTATTGTGATTGCTCCATATTTATCAAACATGTTTATTCTATCGCATACTACATTTTTACGTATAATTGAACAACTAGTTTGAAAAAGACAATATATAGGCAGAATGACTGTACGGTTGGTGCGGTGGCTGGGTAACTAACTGTCGCGCAACGTGTTGCGAGTTCGATTCCCGCATGGAACAACTCTTTCCCACGACTCAGGAAAAAATCCTAGTGTGGGACAACGATTTTCAAAAAGAAAAAAAAAAAGAATTTGCTAAACCGCCAAAGCTCTCTTGTCTCCATGTATTTGAATTTAAAATTATTTCCAGTCCAATATCAATAAAAACTGTAGTAAAATTCAAATTCATTCACTTCTCATGTGACTGTGTAAACAGATTGTAACATGTAAGACGTAAAGTTCAATTTTAATTAAATTTGCGACCAAACAAAGGGTGTTGTACAAAAAGGGCTGTCATACACAACAGGATGTGACGGTTTGTGCAAAGGACGCCTACGTAATAAATGCTTGTATGTATAAAATAAAATATCAGCGGTTAACTATACAATAGTTGCATTTTATGTTTTTACATTGCATACAAATACCAGGCGGGAGCAGTCATTCGATGATTTTCCCGACTTAAAAAAAAATACAATAGTTGCAAAATCACTAAACGGTAATTTTATACATTATCTGCAAAGAAAACTATGATTATTGTACTTTTTATTTGTTTTTTTTTTGGAGGGAGGAAAATCATCCAATTACTTCTCTCGCCCGGGTGAGGCGAGAGGGAGTGTCAGACTCTTACTGACTGAAAACCACCCCGTTCCTACTCCTGCACTTCGAGCCGGAGCCCCGGCAGCCCATTAAGTTCTCCGCGGCTCCGTATCAGCATCAGCCTTCTTGGGCCCCACCCGTGGTGGTCCTCTACTTCTAATTTATAAGAGTGAAATATTAAGTTTTACGTTAAAATACTGAAAGCCTACTCAAATTTAAGTTGTATTTCAATATCGTGCCATCTTTGTCATTTTACAAAGTCATTGTCGAAGATATTCCCCAAAAAAATTGAAGTCTAATTAACTAAAATTCTCTCTTCAAATTACTGACAAAATAAATAGTGTTAGGCTTTAAATTCTTATTAATTAAGACCAAAATACGTTACTCAAATACTTTATAATTCACTTATTCTTCTTCAACACTTCTAATGAATAATTCGTTAATATGTTTAAAAGGTACGTCGTGAATAATGTAATTAGGCAACGCCTATTCAAACTTTACTAGTCCTAATTTTATTATTCAAAGTGATGTGTTTCATCATTAAATTACTTTCGCTATAATTTGTAAAAGCCGTTTCATCATAGCTACAAAATTTATATTGTGAAATTAAATTTCAGTTTCAAATGCGTCATAAAAAATATATATGTATAGGTATATAATATTGGAGAGTACTTTGAATTATGAGTTAAATATTATAATATCGCACCTTTTATTGGGTACCTACTTATTGGGTTAAGGTGAGGTGACACATAGTTTTGTCCAGTTATGCTATGAGTTCCAAGTGAACCTAACGGGTTACCGGGGCTCCGGGTCCGAAGTGCATGAGTAGGAACGGGGTGGTTTTTAGTCAGTAAGAGTCTGACACTCCCTCCCGCCTCACCCAGGCGGGAGAAACCATTCGATGATTATCCCCGCTTAAAAAAAATTATATATCTAGGTTGGACCACATCAGGCACAATAGGTTAGATGACTACTTTTTATTTTAATGTTCGTCTGGTAGATTATTTAAAAATATTCGTCCCGTATTTTTTATTTTCTTACAAACACAAATAATATCGGTAATAGATTGATTTGAAATATTGCGTGACGTCACTTCTGTGTATATTTTATACGTAGAAATGACGTGTTTTAGCCCCCACTTTGATTCGTTTTATATAAATATTGTTATCATACGATAAAATAAAAAAATCGTGTCTAATATTTATTCATTACGTAGCTGACGGACTAAATACATTTTTAATTATTTACCTCGTCATCATCCCTATTCTACACTCCGTTTTTAACAATCTTTCCCACGATATTGTGAATGGCAGTTGCATTCGACTATTTGACCGACCAGTCAATAAAATCAAATTACAATGACTTGACCTATTAAAAGCTATGCACAAACAAAAAGAAACAAGAACGATTAAAAAGGAACGAATGAAATGAGGCCCATGTACCCCCCACAAAATCAACAGAGTACTAATTAAGCTTGGCAAACGGTATTCCAATTTTACGCCAATTGACTGATCAAAGGGTCATATAGCCTGATTAACTATCATTATTATGAACCATGCAGGTTTATTGGCTAGTAATAATTGAACAGCTACACGATGCGGACTGGCTGTGAAGTATTAATAGAATTATTTATTTTATTTTCGAATCGCATTGAGGTCTAGTGGTTTAAAGCGTGATTGAGCACATTAAGCTAATGAGTTTAATTTCATAATTTGTGTTTAATTAGGTTGCTTATGGAATCTCTAACAAACGATATTAGAATGAATAGAAAAAACATTATTTCATACGTTAAAAGGTATATGTACAAATGTGTTATTTTATTAGTAGGTACTGATGGATACATGTCCATATCCCAAGTTTGCCGTGAAATGGGACTAGTTCAGTATGTGCAACTAATGGCACTGGTATTCTACTGGCCCCTCAATTGGCTCATGTGCCGGCCTTCAGTTGGCATATCAACGCTACGACACTCAGTCACGTAAATATGTACCACGTAATATACTTAAACTGTCAAACACCAAGCGGTCACCGGTGACCGCAACCTATTGTTCTATAATTGTGTCTACAAAACCGGTACTCGACGAGTTATACATATTAGTGATGGGTTGGTGTGCGCACCGCCGCTCTGGGTGCCGGTCGGCTGTCGACTAACTCAACCAAAGACAACATAACATAGCATCACGCCTTTTTATCCCTGAAGGGGTAGACAGAGGTGCACATTACGGCACTTAATGCCACTGTACAATGTAACACCCACTATTCACTATTTATGTTATGAGTCCCATGTAATAGGGGGTGAGCCTATTGCCATATACCGGGCACATTTCCAAACTCCGTGCTACTACTGAGATTTTTAAAAACTCAGTAATACTTTGCCCGACCCGGGAATCGAACCCGAGACCCCTTGCCCAGCAGTCGCACTTGCGACCACTCGGACAACGAGACAGTCAACCAAAGGAAGACTCAACAGAAGTACCCGCGCTCTATTTAATTATCTACGTAATATGACAGAGATGACGGTATTGCAGAATAAACAAATACCTGAATACACCACAGCTCATAAATTTGTTCCATAATGTCAAGTAAGAGCAATGTATCGTACTCTAAGTCTTACAACTCCACTCGCCATGTTTCCCAAACAATTGACTGCTATTGGTGCATTTGCAGCTGTGAAGTGCACTTCAATGGTGACCACAAACTACTACACGTTCGAAACGCCCTCTAGACAAATGGGTTGAGTACCTACTTGATGAATGTACCTGGACTTAGACGCTTCTCTGAGTATCTTAGTTAGGTTATCAAAATGCTAGGACTGCTGGAAATTGTATTTTATAACATAACATCACGCTTTTTTATCCCCGAAGGGGTAGGCAGGCAGGTGAGAGGTGCACACAGAAGTAACACCCACTTTTCACTATTTATGTTATGAGTCCCATGTAATAGGAGGTGAGCCTATTGCCATATACCGGGCACATTTCCAGACTCCGTGCTACTACTGAGTTTTTTTTTTAAAACCCAGTAATACTTTGCCCGATCTGGGAATCGAACCCGAGACCCCTTGCCCAGCAGTCGCACTTGCGACCACTTGGCCACTGAGGCAGGATTTATATAGATAATAAATTATCGAAGTATAACACAAATTTATTTGGTGAATAAAAACTTAAATAACAACTATTACATAAATAAAATTAAAACTAAATATTACTAAATTAAATATATACAACTTATGATTAAAATTAATTATAGGAAAAATAAACTATTTATAAGGCATCGAAGTATTAGCACAAAATATGCGCCATTTTACCTTGTGTTACCCTTTTTCCATATAGGTATTGGTAATGGAATAGTAAATTCCTATAAGCTATGCTGTCGCTGTCAAAATGCTTACGAATAAATGTTTCGTTAGTCTAACATGCAAAAAAAGGCAAACATGACTTGCTGAATTTACGTTTTTGTAACATCTTCTTTCGGAAACAAAGCAAAACAAAACGCAAACGTAAACGAGAAATCTGCTGGTTGAGCTCCACACGTGAAGTTGCGGACAAGAGCCCGACATTCCAATACCAAGGTAGGATTGTTACGTCATGGAATTTACTACGGATTTGTTAAAAGGGATTTTTAAAGTCTTGCGTTGAAAGACAAGTCTTATTGTTTCCAGAAAAAGAAATCAGGACTTAGGAAATAGTAAAATATGGAGTTTCATTTGCAAAAGTACTGCCAAGTAAATATGGATAACGGATTAAGTTCAATTATTAAACTCAAACGCAAACTCAAAAGCATTTATTTCAATTAGACCATAATATGGTACTTTTGAAACGTCAACAAATACGAAATAAATAATAGTATGTCAGTCTGTCCGTCAGTGAAGCTAGGCTCTCTTTCCAAAATGTCGATTCGAGTGGAGAAGAACGAGCAAGAAACTCCACTCGTTACCCTTTAAAAAAGTCTGTTTTACACTGCTCTGATACATATTCCAATATTGTACACACATGTGAGAATAATGTAAAGACATACCTGACGCAACATACAAATAAATAACAGAACGTACACACGGCCACACATCAACCTATACAAAACCAGTTTATCCTGGTGTCGCGTCGCGTCATCTTTCCGCACATTTACCGTTCAGTTTATACTGGTTATGTAAAGCTCGATGTTTAGCCGTGTGTACTAAAATAAAAAACAAAACCAAGAGAAAACAAATATCTTTAGTCTGACATGGTCCTCACATATACTGACAATCCATATAAAATAATGCTTCTATACAAGAACAAAATAAATAAATAACATCTGATCCGAATAGACAAAATAAATTATGTTGAGATTATGGCTTTCAGTAATGTTAACATAAAATAACATTTATCCCCGAAATAGTGGCTGAGGTGCACATTACGGCACTTAATGCCACTATACAATGTAACACCTAATTTTAACTATTTATGTTATGACTTCCATGTACTAGGGGGTGTGCTTATTACCATATACCGTTCACAATTCTAGACTTCGTGCTATTACTGAGATATAACAAAGAATCCAGTAATACTCTGCCCATCCCGGGAACCGAACCCGGAATACTGAGGTAGGTACTGTCAGTAGGCTGCGCGACATCGCTGCGATCGCGCACGCTGCACACAAAGAAAAGCCCCTCAGTGGCTCGAAACTAGTAGGGCTTTTCTCACTATTTAGACGTAAGGAACCCACGATTTTAGTTCATTTAGGATGTCTCACGATAGTTATTATAAAAAATAAAGGGTATCTATTTAATATACACCCTAATTACCAAAATGGTTTAAACTATGGATTAATTTTCATTATTCAGAAGAAAAATACGATTGACGTTATAATAAAACAATAAAATAACGAATCTTGTTTTCAAATAAATCTTTAAACAAATATAAAAACAACACATGTTTTTTCATCCCTTATTTTATACGCACATACCGTACTAAATGAAGATTAAAATAATACAAACAAAGTATGTTAATTCGGCTTAACCCGACATATACATATATCTGAAGCTATTAGCCGACACGTGTAACTGTTTCCGGGAAATAGACTGATATTAAAGTATTTTCATGTTTGTAGTAAATAATTTTTTATTACCTATCCTTGTATTGTTTGTTAGAAATTAAATTTTGATTGTATATTTTTTGTTTATATTGTTGTTTTGCAGTGGGTTATTGAAATGAATTGAAATTCTACACTGAAATTACATACATAGGCAGAGAATATGGAACGCCAATTGCTATAATTATTTTTTTTTCTTTTTTTATGTACTTACGGCCATTTCCTATAACCTATCTATCTGTAGATTTGCTTACTGAGACAGAATTTTGACCCCTAAGCTCCATACAAAATGTGTCAAAATTCTATCTCAGTAAGCGAAATCTAGAGGTACAGATAGATAGGTTATAGAAAATGGCTGTAAGTTGGTAAACGAGCAGATTGCTGATGTTAAGCAACCGGCACCGTGGACACTCGGAACACCAGAGGCGTTACAAGTGCGTTACCGGTCTTTTGGGGATTATTACGAAATCGGGGATTGGGGAGATTGGGGAGATTGGGGAAGGGGGTAATTGGGCGCCCAGTAACCTAATATACACGTTCGTCATGTAAGTAGGACACAGCACAAGCGTTGTTTCACGTCGTCAGTAAATTATAGTCTTAAAATCTATGTTCCTTCCAGACGCCAATCCTAAACAACTTTATTCAAAAAAAAAAAAGATCCACCCACTGAAAACACAAATTACTTCTACTATACACTGATAAAATGGAAATATGTCATGATGAATCGCGGAGATGTGTAAATTTAGACCGCGTGACGTCATCCTCACCTCTTTATGCAGGAGTCGTACATGAAAACTGGCAACGTCGCTGACAGGCTCTCCAGCTTCTGTGACGTAATAGACGAGGAGTGAACTGACTGGTGCCATGTCTGCCGTCACCGGGAATCTGTAAAGAAGCTGGATTTTAGTAAATTAAAAGAGAAAAGTTTTTAGTTCCCTAAGAACTTACTTGAAATTTGTTTGTGGAATTAGCCTATTAATTGCATTACGGGGTAAAATTGGCGCATACTGTACACTAGTCAAACAACTCCACATACAAAAGCCAATTTTATGAGATGTTTACTATGGATACTATAACTAAGCGTCATACACGGCGCTACGCTTACGATACGATACTTGTAGTCTTAGGGCTTAGTCCCATCGCTATTGGTTGTACTTTATTTGAACTGACCAATTATATTAATCTTTAGTTTAAATAGAAAAAGATACCATTATTCAAGCGGTCACCGGTGACCGCTCTCCACTAACTTCGTTATAGACCTTATTTCCGATGTTTAGAGACTACTTTTGCATGAACAAATTTAGGTAATGATATTTCTACAGGTTAAGTTGCAATAAGCTTAAGTACTGACTAAAGTATAAAGCTAAAAACGATTTCTCTTTGTAATTTCAGTGCAAAAGACACACTTTTCGTAATAAAACCTTAAGATTCTCTAAAGTAAACACTAAATCACAGTCCTAAAGTTAGAAAAGGAAGGAAAAAGTCAAAATTTTAACATTAAAGCAATTTCGAGGTCAATAAAATACACCTGTGTACAATATTTCACCTTTCTACCATCTTCTGAGAAAAATGTGATTGTTTTTGCGCTGAGAAATTTTGTAGAAAGTGCTGTTATTGCAATATTCTTAAGTAGCTTCTATTCGCCATTTTCTTCTAACAAATTTGAAAAGCAAGGATATTGGTTTATTGGTTAAGTGGTGGGAGAGTCAAAGTCAAAGTCAAAGCATTTATTTCAATTAATCCATAATTAAACACTTTTGCAACGTCAAAAATTGAAGTGTCCATCCAACGTCAAAACCTAACGGGTAACAGGGGCTCCGGCTCGACGTGCAGGAGAAGGAACGGGGTGGTTTTTAGTCAGTAAGAGTCTGACACTCCCTCCCGCCTCACCCAAGCGGGAGCAGTCATTCGATGATTTCCCCCCTTAAAAAAAAAGAAAAAAAAGGCGGCTAGCTATGTAAGAATATTTTTAGTTACGTGGAAACTAGGGTACTTATTTTTTTGTTAGGCAGATACAATTTTATAATATTTTTTTGCTATACATAATATTAATTGGTGATATTTCTTCCATTTTGAAAGTATACAACATAAATTGCGGTTTAACGATGGATAAAATAGTATCAGCACAGATGGGGATTTAAAATATGGCGGAACATAAATATGTGTTAAAAAGGCAATATTTTAAACACAGCCTCTGCTGTTTTGTTACAAAATTGTGCCATGCAGCGATACATAGCAGCAATGTGTCGATAAATTTTGGTTTAAAGCTGTACCTACTATATTTTATCGTTTTAATAACTATTACCTTTTAAAGTGTTATAAATTGACTGCACGGTTGGCGTGGTGGCTGGGCAACTGGCTGCCGCGCAACGTGTCGCGAGTTCGAATCCCGCACGGAACAACTCTTTGTGTGATTCACAGATTGTTGTTCCGGGTCTGGGTGTCATGTGTATGTGATATTGTATGTTTGTAAACGCACCCACGACACAGGAGAAAAACTTAGTGTAGGGAAAAGTTTAAAAAAAAATACTATACAAGAGTTTGGGTCAAAAATTAGAATTTTGAAATCTAATTTCTAAAATACTCGACTTGACTTCAAACTACATATAACAATTCAAATTTAGGTCTTTGTATTTAGATGTATCCTAGACATTCAAGGTACACAACACAACCAGTAAAAACAGGTAAACAGAGACAAAGAAACTCCTTAATCAAAACCGAACCATAACTTAAGATCAAATTCGTAATAAAATTTCCTACATAAACCCACCTCGGAACGGGGAAAGGCCCAAAAAATTCCCAAAACATTTTTATCGACTTGGAAGCGGTTATGTAAACAAAACAAATGTCCTCTACGTGTACTTGGGTCCCGATATAAACACGAAGGGCCTTTGTTTCAACGCACTTGTCAGGTCCAACACACACAAATCAAAAATTTCTCCCGACAATACCAATATTTGTCGCTATAAATCTAAGCCTGTTTTTCTCGGTTCCAGAACATTCGAGTTGTTTGGCCACCGAAATGTTTATTGGTCGATTGGTTTTATACGATGTCCATTTATAACACTGGTAGTTGACCTAAAAGCATTTAGTGTTAAGACTAACGAATTTATAGCTGGTGTCGTGACGTCTAGACCCATTCTGGGTTATGTTTATTATCCTTTATTTATATCTGATTTCTTTATTGAATTACTTGTTTTTTTTTTGGCCCTGAATTCGCAATAGATTTCTTGATAATTATGTTTGTTATTAAAGTCATCTGACCATTGTTGACTTGGAATTCCCAGTAAGAGTCCAGATTCAGATTTATGGAAATCACTCGATTACTTATGTTAATAGACCTGTAACAGAAATGCTGTAAAAATATTACAGGACTGTATGTTATATACCAGAGATGTGAATGTCCACTAAAAATTTTGATCGTTTTTTGTAAGATAAACTGACAGCCTATAAGTAAGGGAAGAACTTGACAGGTTGCCGGGACTCGGAAGAAGTAGGAACCGTGTGGTTTTTAGTCAGTGAGAGTCTCACACTCCCTCTTGCCTTACCTAGTAGTAGCACGGAGTCCTGAAATGTGCTCGGTATATAGCAATAGGCTCACCTCCTGGGACTCATAACATAAATAGTGAAAAGTGGGTGCTACATTGAACAGAGGTATTATGTGTACCTCCGTCTACCCCTTCGGGGGTAAAAGGCTTGATGTTTTGTATATATGTAGAAGCCAATATTCGATTTCATTTTTCCAGTTATGTAATTGCTCTTACAACCGCTGGGCCTCCAACTCGTTGACTGAATTATTGCCATTTCGATATGAAAGTTATTAAAATTAAATTATGTGGAAGATTCGTTCGGGCTTCCCATAAATAATTTACATTGGAATCAGCTTCATTAAACAGCAAATGCAATTATTACCACAGTAAACGATAAGTTTATGAATAAAATGGTTTTTTGGGTTATTTTATTTGGGATGATGATAGGGTATGAAAATTAAAAATATAAATAGTCCGTAAATACGGTAGTAAGGTAATGAAAAAAAATTAGACACGTATTTTTTTATATTGTCGTATAGCAAAACAATACTTAAATAAAACGAATCAAAGTTTAGGAGTGGGGCTAAAACGTCATTTCTATGTATAAAATGTACATAGAAGTGACGTCACGCGACACATTACAAATCAATCTATCGTCGAAAGTATTCGTTTCTGTAAGAAAATAAAGAATACGTGTCTAATGATTTAAAATAATCTACCAGACGGACATTAAAATAAAAATTAGGCATCTACCCTATTATTATTTCTAAGTTTTTAATGATCGAAATTAAGATTATACAGAAATCATTGATGGAGGTTTTATTCAGCTGTGGGCTGTTAGTGATGATGTTTATGTATTGGTTTGATAATTATTGTACAGTACATGGCCCCCTTATTTCCAACTCCTAGTCCTGATTACTGGCTCCATCCAAAGGTTGTCTGAAAGAAATCGCATTCTGCGATAAGATCGCCCAGTGAACACATTTTTTTATGTTTATTTTTTTTGGTATGTTTTTATGGTATACAATAAAGTGTATAAATATAATGATGAACTTGAAACTATGCAGAATGAACACATACTCAACCAACAAACCATTATTATTATTAACTACCTACTTGTGTGCGGTTTCACCCGCCCTTCTCGACTCTTATTGATCACAATGTGATGTTTTATAGCCTACTTACCTACCTATAATATACCTACCTCAATTAATGGACTATCCAATACCCAAATTATTTTTTCAAATCGGAGCAGGAGTTCCTGAGATAAGAGCATTTAAACAAACAACTACAAAGTACATAAGATTAGAAAGTAACATTTTCGTCGAAAACTTTAACAATCCCTGTCCTTTTCCCCAAAGTAATTGGCTATCATTTTTCCAGTGAAAAATTCCTATAAAGCATAAAGCATACATTTCCCATTCAGTTGATTGTATCGACATACTTTTTTTTTTTATTTTTCCCGACTCTAAAGTGCATAACGACATTTCGACGTTCTACATACCCAATGGACGTTTTTAAAACGTTGTTTTTTTTTTCTTTTTCAATAAGGGAACAATCGACCAATTTACTGTTACAAATTGCCGTTGATTGGACACAGCCTTTGATGCGTACGTTTTCTTTTAATTTATTTCCGAATTCAATTTCGATACTGTTTATTAAATTTTTAAGTGGTTGTTGATTGAGTATTTTGTTTTAGGGACAAAATATTAAACTTATTGTGGTTAGAGAAAATTTACACCACAGTTCACTATTTTATATTGTACAATATGCCTCACTATCACTACATAGTATAAAACAAAGTCGCTTTCTCTGTCCCTATGTCCCTTTGAATGCTTAAATCTTTGAAACTACGCAACGGATTTTGATGCGGTTTTTTTAATGAATAGAGTGATTCTTAAGAAAGGTTTATATGTATAATACATGCATATTGCACCCGTGCGAAGCCGGGGCGGGTCGTTAGTATTCGTATAAAATAGTCGGGTAGCATAAAGTATTATTAGGTAACGCCATTTTAAAATTCCCAATTACAAACTAGATTTTGAAAGTAAATCCTGTATGTGACAATAAACTCCTTTTTTATGTCACAAAGCAAATAAAAATCCGAACGTCACATTTCGCAGAAACTAATAAAATTCAATTTATCAACACCACTATTCGCACGAAAACCTGTCACAGGTTTTCACAGCTTCACGTCAAGCTAATGGACTAAGCTGGTTTGTTCTGAGCCCACAGCTTACTGTGAAAGGACGAGGATTAGCCGCGCCATACTCGAAACTGCAGTAAAACCTTCGGTAACGGCTAGTACTGTTGTAACATCAAAAGCCTGTTTATAGTCTAAATCTCCTATAACTG